AATCTTGTTAGTCAACGCTAACTCTTTCCATCTGGAATACAAACCTTTATCATATCCACAATCTTACTTATACACAATACTACCCATTTGATTCAAATCCATAACTCTGATTTCATGCATCTTATAAACATATCACTGATGCACTTATTCTTGAACTCTTTTACAATTCTAACCACATCATTCGATCCTTTAACGTTCTTTTGGTGACACTTGTTCACCATATTCTAACTTGTCCACTTAGTAACGAGACTACTCAATTTAACTTCTCCATTTGCATAAATGAAAACCTTCTAATCATTATCTCCATATCATTTAACCCAAAGGTCTGTAACAACAGAATCTTCCTCAAATCCACCATTGAACTCGGGTGCTCTTAACTCTTTCAAATAATTCTATACATTCATTCTATGAGTTAAAGAAGTGGAAAATTGAAAACACATCAAAATATTATTCAACATCATTAAGACATTTTCTAATCTTGTACAGGCATTCCCTGAGGTTTTTCGCTCTTCTCCCTGCCTGGGCAGGGCAGGTGAATGTTATTACCTTCAGGTCTATCACCTTGTGCTTCACTTTTGAAGCTCTCAATATCACACATATAATATAATATAACTATTGAACTCTATTAACAAGACAACACACTCCTTACCATTCAGACCATAAACTTTTTCACTTCGTATTGGCATGTACATTTTTTTTAAAAATATTGTTGACTTCGATTTAAGCCTAGAATCGGCTAAACCGTAGCTCTGATACCATTAAATGTAACACCCCCAACCCGTACCCGATCCGGCTACGAGTTCGAGATGTCACATTGACTTTTCAAAAACTTTACTTGAACAAAATAGTAAATAATTTTAAAACTTTTACTAAATACAATTGACTAATTTACATAAATTAGTATAATATGATTTTACAAACCAATTAGAGCATATCAAAATCTAAAACTTTATTTACATGCCAACTACCTCTATATACCAATTACATATATTTTCTGATCTGAACTTTGTAAAGGAGATACTGACATGTCTAGCTCCACATTGCTCTCTATATTCTTTTCGAACCTACGTGTGAAACAATCACAAGCAAAGTCGATGACTTAGTGAGGCAAATAAAACATATAATAGAAATCATAAAACATTCCATATAACAAAACACATGAACATTTAATACTAACTTATCATACAAAATCATATAACAATTTCATACAAAATCACACATCTTTTTATATAACAAATACACTCATGTACATATATCATCATTTACTTTCTTAGCATTATCATATATATTATTATCATTATTTATATCATTATCATCAAATTATTTATCACATGATCTTGTATTTATCATTTCTGCATATCATATAAAACATATATCATTTCACCTAGAAACACTCATAACATCATACAATTCATATAACGCATTTCGTATAATCAAAAACATATCCATCATATATATATATATATATATATATATATATATATATATTTTATTTGTTATTGTTTCTTTATTAGCCCATGATACACTAGTGAGAACTAAAGATATTTGAGTGCATTGAGGTTGTGCACAAATATTGTCACCACAGCTCGTATAAATGCACCGAAGTGCCACGTAGAATTGCACCGTAGTGCCACGTAGAATTGCACTGTAGTGCCATATAATAATGTCCATAAGGACCACATATCATTCCTTAAGAACCATATACATATGCCAATGATCACATAAGTGTCTTAATAGACCCCATACATGTTCCAAAGAATACATATATATCCCGAATGACCGCGTAGACCCTCGACTCTTGGCATGCCAACTATACCCCTAGCTCTCAGGACACATAACATGGGCATTATCATTTATTTCATTTCATATTCACACATTCATATTACTTATCTCTTATCGCATGTCTGATCTCTTATAATCATGTAATCACATAGCTCATGTCATTTCTTGTGAAATCACACATATCATGTAATACATATAACTCATATACTTTCTCATATATTCACATAGGTAATATCATAGGAATTATATCTTTTCATATGGTTTATGTTTTATTCTCTTATATTCACATACATCTAATACATATCAAACATGTTTACATAAATCATTTCTATATAATTCACATGTACTTATATTCTTTTTCATATACTCACATAGTCATATAATATAATATTTCATATGACCTCATATATCACATCACTTATATACATATCCAAATATTCATAGATATATATCACTTAAATTATTCCTATTTACATAATTTATGGTCATATAGTTCCTATCACAAGTCACTTATCTTATCCCTTCTTCTTATATGTTCATATTTATCATACAACACATAAGTTTTATTACATATTTATATCACTAATTCATAATATAATTTACATCGCATCATCTATCTTATTCTTTATTTCTTGGTATGAACTTATATTACATAACCTATCTTATACTGATAAACATATATATTACTTCTATTATTTCTTTTATATACAAATTAATCAATTTACTTAATTCAATTTCATATAACTCCTATAATTTTCTCATATCACTCCATATTCAAGTTTCCTAATTGATACATTATTCTCATTTCATTTTATAACTCAATCTTATTTAGTTTCTTTCAATTCACATTAAATCATATAACGCTATTATATTAAATTCTCATAATTAATTATACCACTATGTACACTCATAATCCCATTATTCATATAACTTTTCCACATAATTACCTAGTTTCTATCGTTTCTCGTGGATTCCCTTTCATCATATTCTTTTATTTTTACATATTTTATTTCATAATCCTATACTCCCTTTATCATATGATTTATGTAGGTTCTCTTATAACTCTTCATAAACATATATTTTCCATTCTATATATTACGTAGATCTTATCATATGACTTATTCTTTATACTTACATAAATTATAACACATACAAGAACATATCACCTCATATAATCAATCATACATACATTTCATGCCATTCACTTACTTATAATCAACACTTCATGCATAATAAAACAACTATCAGAAATATACTTATCACAAGTCCAATTTCCTTATAATCCCATAATATAAGATGTACTCACCTGGGCCTCACTAAGTTAATACATATCTCTTATATTTCTCTCGATCGATCTTATTTTCCAAATGTTCCGGAACTGATTTATGTTCGGTATCTACACAAATATACAATTTAAGGCAATCTATCAAAATCTAACCTTATAACTTGATACTAATAGCTTAAACGACTTTAAGAAATCAACATTTCCATTTTCCTTTAGGGGGGTATCGATACCCTCATGACATTCTGGAATTCTGCTCGTTTGAAAGGGTATCGGTACCCCTTTGAATGGGTACCGATTCCCCCTAGCCCAGAAATCATTTTTGAGCTTGAAAATCCACTTGATTCAATTCAAACGCTTCATCTTTCATCCCCTTTCATATTCCTAACTTACATATACATACTTAAACTCATTAATATTCATTTATCTCATCTTTAACCTCAAAATTCCATCTTTCTTATGGAAATCAATAATCATACCAAAGTTTCCATATTATCCAAAATTAATTATAACACTTCTAACTTCTTATTCTTATAGATGACAAGTCAAATTCATCCTTCAAATTCGTTTAAACCTTCTTATTCTAAATTTCACTTAAAACCCCATATTCTTTAATTTCTTCTAACATCTTCATCTTTGAGTTTTTACTTATCTTTAGACTTCCTTAAGCTTTCTTACTTTCCAAAGAATCAAAACCAACTTAGAATTCAAATAATAATCAACTAATAAAAATTCTCACCTTAGATCTTGGCTTCTATGCGTGAAGAAGAAAGGAGAAGAATAAAACTCTAGAAACTCATTTCCCCTGATTCCCACTTTTTTATATCCCTTAAAAGAGAAATAAAAATCTTCTCTTAGAAAAGACCATAATACCCTTATTACTTTCAAACTTTACTATTAAATCCAACCTCAAAATTCTCCAATTAAAATTCTAAACTTTTAACTTATTTCGAAATTGAACACAATAATTTCAAAATTCACATTTAAGTCACTTGCCCGATATTGAGGATGTTACAACTTTACGAGCAACTTCTTGACACCCATGTAGTGTCACCATACATGGTAGAAACCATGAAGTCCCCATACCCCAAGTGGTATGACGAGAATGCTCATTGTGAATATCACGGCGGTGTCCCAGGGCACACAATTGAGAATTGTTACGCATTCAAGAGAGTCGTGCAGAAGATGCATAACCAAAACTGAATCGACTTCAACAACTTGGGGGCATCCAAGTGTGGAATATCATTTCATCATTTGAGGCATTCTGTTTGAATTTGTTAAGCAGTGAATCACATTTGCAAACTTGCAATTATTTGAATATCATCTGAATTAAGAAACTCTGTAAATGGTTCACAGTTACATATCTTTGACGAAGTAACATGATTTAAAACAAGGAATTTGACTTTACCCAGAATATGCACTCAAACACCGTACCATGCTCTTGCAATAAACCAATATAATCTTTTCCTTTCATAAGGTGCGGACAACATGGGGCATCCTTTTGTATATGACATTAGTATACTTTTTATTTAAGACGCTCTATGATGATCATTATCTTTACAGATGGAATAGTCGAGTAGGTAAATCTAGTTTAGGTCATTTGCTTTGAAATTGAACTCTAAAAATGAGATTCCTTGACTTTCAACTACACCTAGACTATAACAGGTTCTTCTTGACAAACTTAAGAAATTAAATCCGTAAAGCTGAACTATTCCACTAAGGCAATTGGTTATAGAGTAAACTTGAAAGCCCTGGCCTTATGAGTAGATTACGTTTAAACCATGACATTGCTCAAAAACTTGGCAATTTGGTGTTTACTCCACTGCTATTGTCCGGCCGAAGACTTTGTGATGAGATGAACCCTTCAGTTAACTTGATAAAACTGATTATAATGTTAAGTTGTCCCTCTAAAGCAATTGGTTAAACGCCCTGGCTTTATGGATTCAGCTAGCCAGATAACGACAAATTAAATCAAATTTATCTAAGCAAGGAATTTTCGCTAATGATGGACTAAGGGAGTTAAGGAACACCTGTTATAGTCAACTTCACACGAGCACTCACGAATTTCATTTTTAGACCGATATTTTTGCACTACCTTTGTTAGAGGAGCTTACGAGGCTTGAACAAATGGAAGATTTCAAGTCTATTAATTGATCATGCTAGTTACGTCATTTTGTCTGCACCCAATTAAAATGACAAACAAAAAAAAACACATTGTAATAACAAAAAAAATGACCTTTTTATGGCTGAAACCTTAGGTCAACCTAAAGCCAACTCATTCATTTGAACATTTGTCAAAGAGCTGTAACTCTGAAACATTAAAAGAGCTATTGATTCCTTTGATATACTTTGAACTCATGTTTATAATTTGATTCAATTGCGAACAATATTTTACAGAATTTTTATCATTTTCCCTCCTAAAACAAGAAAAATGAGAAAAAAAATTCAAACAGGACAGTCTCAAATATAAAAGGTCTGTAAAACCAAAGCTTGAAATGGGGCATAGTCGATTCCAACGACAAGACCAACAAACAAAAATGAGGCTCCGTCCAATAGATAAAACATAATTAATTCATGTTGCATGCATCTTAGACACACTTAAGAGCATCACATTTATCATTTTTAGCACACATATTTTTTACAACTTTTAGAGTCAAATTTCAACTTCAAGATGAAAGATAATCGATTCAAAAAGTGCATTCGGAAATTGATGGTGGTTGCTCAACTTCACAACGAATGGGTGACTGATTGTCAACAAATAACTTTTCAGTTTCATTCAGAGTCAATTTTAACTTCACAACGAAGGATATTGGACTCGACACAACACAAGCTCAACTTCACAGCGAAGGGGCGACTGACTGTCAACAAACAACTTTTCAGTTTTATTCAGAGTCAATTTCACAGCGAAGGATATTGGACTCGAGACAACACAAGCTCAACTTCACAGCGAAGGGGCGACTGACTATCAACAAACAACTTTTTAGTTTCATTCAGAGTCAATTTCAACTTCACAGCGAATGATATTAGACTCGAGACAACACAAGCTCAACTTCACAGCGAATGGGCGACTGACTGTTAACAAACAACTTTTCAGTTTCATTCAGAGTCAATTTCAACTTCACAGTGAATGATATTGGACTCGAGATAACATAAACTCAACTTCACAACAAAGAGGTGGTTGACTGTCAATAAATAACTTTTCAGTTTCATTCAGAGTCAATTTCAACTTCACAATGAAGGGGCGGCTGACTGTCAACAAACAACTTTTCAATTTCATTCAGAGTCAATTTCAACTTCATAGCGAAGTATATTGGACTCGAGACAACACAAGCTCAACTTCACAGCGAATGGGAAGCTGGTTGTCAACAAATAACTTTCCAGTTTCAAAGACAATTTCAACTTCACGACGAAGGATATTGGCCTCGAAACAGCACAAATATTTGGATTTAAACTTCACGATGAAGGATATCCAATTCGAGGCTCAACTTCACAATGAAGGGGCCATCCACAGTTTTAACTTCACGAAGAAGTGAATCGTGTCCACCAAAGGCCTTCGAGTTTGACTACGCTTAGCTCTAAGGCACATCATTTGCAGTATAACTTAAGTCAATAGGGTTATCTACCAACCAAAGAACCTCGAGTTCAATTACACTCAGCTTCGAGGGCACATCATTTACAGCATAACTCAAGGCTAGAAGGGTTATTTGTGACCAAAAGACCTTCGAGTTCGACTATGCTTAGCTCCAAGTCATATCATTTGCAGCATAACTTAAGTCGAGAAAGGTTATCTACCAACCAAATACCTTCGAGTTCGATTACACTCAGCTCTAAGGCACATCATTTACAGTATAGCTTAAGTCGAGAAGGGATATTTGCCAAAGACCCTCGAGTTCGATTACACTCAGGTTCGAGGGTACATCATTTACAGCATAACTCAAGGCTATAAGGGTTATCTATGACCAAAAGACCTTCGAGTTCAACTACGCTCAGCTCCAAGGCATATCATTTGTAGTATAACTTAAGTTGAGAAGGGTTATCTACCAACCAAAGACCTTCGAGTTCGATTACGCTTAGCTCCAAGACACATCATTTGCAGCATAGCTTAAGTCGAGAAGGGTTATCTGCCAAAGACCCTCGAGTTCGATTACACTCAACTTCAAGGGCACATCATTTACAACATAACTCAAGGCTAGAAGGGTTATCTGTGACCAAAAGACCTTCGAGTTTGACTATGATCAGCTCCAAGATATATCATTTGCAACATAACTTAAGTCGAGAAGGTTTATCTACCAACCAAAGACCTTCGAGTTCGACTACGCTCAGCTCCAAGGCACATCATTTGTAGCATAGCTTAAGTCGAGAAGGGTTATCTGCTAAAGACCCTCGAGTTCGATTACACTCAGCTTCGAGGGCACATCATTTACGGCATAACTCAAGGCTAAAAAGGTTATCTGTCAACAAAGACCTTTGAGTTCGACTTCACTCAGCTAAAAAGCACAATCATTTGCAGCATAGCTCAAGGCAAGGAGGTTTATATGCCAAAGACCTTCGAGTTTGATTTCATTCAGCTCGAGGGCGTATCAACCGCGTTGCATAAGCAATGAACTACTTTCCGATCAAAGTTTTACACCCAGGTCTCTAAATCGATAAGAAGACCAAGGTCGACCAAGATTGGAAACAAAGAGTCACTTTCTGATTCCCCACGATTTCAACTTCAAGAAGGAGGACATCGAGCCCAATTGATAGACTTAGTGTCACAACAAACACTATCAAGACTCAAATCAAAGAGAATCGGACAAAAACTGGTTGTCTTTTTCATCTTTGTCCTATTCTTGTTAACACAAAAATGTGCAAAGAGGGGCAGTTGTAGACACTCGTTTTTGTCCGGGTCTACAAAGACATTTTATTATATTATATATTTATTTATTTATTATTATTATTTTATTATTATTTTATTATTTTTATAGGCCTCGTACTCAACAACCTCGAATTAGTGAGATTTAGAAAATAAACCAACGTATTTGAGTCATATTGAAACACTAAAACCGAAGTATTTTAAGTCCAAGTAGAACTCCAAATCTGAGCTAAAAATAGGTTTCTTTATACTATAAATAGACTCATGCATCAAGAGGAAAGGACACAGAGAAAAACGTGGAACCAAAATCAGAGGAAAGGCAACGATTTGGAAAAACTGAGAGAAGAAAAGTACAAAAAATAAGGGTGGAGGATCCAAAGCTAGTATCTAAAAGCACGAGGAGTAGCAGAGCATTTTCATTGCAAATCCAGTTTCTCTACACGCAAAACATGGGAGATATCAGGTAAGATGGTGTCTGACCTGCCTAAATTCGTTTTAAATGGTCGGTGGCAACTCTAATTCATTTAATCCAAGTCAAAGCCCAATTCGGGGCCCAACTGAAATACGGTTCTGACAGTCATATACTGCATTCTTTATTCTATGGTAGAAATCATGGTATGACTGAGGGTTCTGCATCTCAGAGCTCACACACGTATCTAGTCTACTGAGGATGTGGTTCGAAATCTCTACATCGGACACAACACCCTCGACTAACTCACCCCTTACGAGTGACGAACCTTGCGCCCTGGTTACTCAGTTTAAAGTGTCTTGCGCACTACCTAAGGATATCCAAATTCATTCTATTATTTGATACTAATATCACCTCTAAAGTAACTCGGGTGTCCTGGTCGTTTCTCGAGTATTCAGACAGGGCTAGTTTTATGACACCTTAATTTATCTCATTTCTAATATAATTAGAAATTATTCTTGTTCTCACTTGTAGTCTTATTTGAGAGTAATTAAATCTTGTGGGAAACCTTATTTATCTCTTAAAAATATCTTGGGCTTCTTGCCCAAAAAAGAACAAGGGTATCGATACTCACCTTTGGGTATCGATACCTTAAGGTTAAATCAAGTTGGAACTTGGTGATTAGTATCGATACTACTGGACCAGTATCGATGCTCACGAATTAGGGGTACCGATATCATTCTAAGTATTGATACTAAAAATTAATTCGATGTTTGGAATAAATGCTTTGGTATCGATACGTTGTTGAGGGTATCGATACTCCAATGAGTATCGATACCGAAAATGGCTACGGAAATCTTCTAAGCTATCTCATTATTGATACCACCCTATGAGTATCGATACCTCACCTATAGTATTGATACCCATTGCTTTGTTATTGATACTTCTAGCTCAAAACCCCTCCATTTATTTAACACATGAAGAACAATATATGTATTGTTCTTTCAGTACCAATACTTCTACCCATACATGCCTTACTTAAGCACAAAAATGACTCTTTAAACCACCCAAAGTGTCCTATTAAGGTTCCCAACCATTATTAGAGTTTTATGTGATATTAAGGGATCATAAATAACACTTTAAAACATACAATAACACTAAATCATATAATTTACCATGGAAACTGCTCACCATACTTCAAGGTCAACTCTTAAGCTATGATACATTTCTAGTGACCCATGAATGGTATGAAAAGATTGTAATGTGTTACCTTGATTTATTAGTTACTAATAACATCCTCAAATCAACTATGAGTCACTTTTACTTTCCCTTTACCTTGGAGCTTTCTCCCACCTCTTTTATTAAACAAAGTAAAAAATGAATTACTAACTCGACTAAAGGCTTGGATTAAATTTAAGAGAACTCTAGATAGCATAAATCTACTATAAACAAGCTTGAATTCTTGGATTCCCTTAAACCTCCATAAAACCCATTTTTGGAAACTAAGCCTAAAACTATCAATATGGAGCTCAAATTAAAGTTTGAATGATAGGGATTAATATTCTTGCCTTGGTTGAATCAAACTAAACTTGAGTCCTTAAAACTTTCACTTGGAAGAGGAAGAAGAAAAGAGAAATGATGAAGAAGAAAATGATGGATGTTTGATGAGAAATGGGGAATGGTTCACATGAGAAACTCTTAAAATAATGGGGTTTTTAGATCTTGGTTTGAAAAAAAGTCAAAATGCACTTTTGGTCATTCTCCTTTATTTTTTTCCCTTAAAACTCATCTCACCATTCTAACACTTAGGCCCAACTGAAGCCCAATTTCACTAAAATTGGTCCAACTATTTTTTATAGATCTTTTGGTCTCTAAATATGGGTTTCAGGTTGACGCGAACTACTAACTCGAGATTCGGGGCGTTATATCAGTAATATGATGAACATGTTCTTGAATAATAGGATCAAACTCAGCTAATATTTCAATTATTCCCAAAAAATTTCCATTACTATTTTGATACAATTTCTTATTTGTACCACATAATGCTAGATAATATTTTACAAGAAATTTCACAATTGAAATAATTCTCACTAAGACATTTTTCCAATGTTCTTTCTCATTTTTAAGTTGTTTTAGAGCTACTTTGTCAATAATTATGTTCTTTTTAAGTCTTAAACGCAAATCATACCAAGTGGCCATATTTTTAACATTTCATTAATTCTAACACAAATATGTGCCCAATCATTGTAACCCCCTAGACACGACCTATAAGGTACAGTTGAATCTAGACGGTCATATGTCATATACAAAATTTATTTCAGTAAATAAAATTCATGTAACTGTAATATACTAAAATAACCATTAGAAAATCCCATACGGTAAATATACAGAGATATCAACGTCAGGAAAAAAATTGGTAATACAAATGCGTGAAGGCAATAGTAAAAACATGTGTCACCAAAGTATAACAAAAAGAGACATAGAAATATACAGTGATACAAAAGTAAGGAGAGATCGTTCTGATACCAAGCCCGCTAGCTACTGCCTGGTACTATTTGAAAAGTAAAAAATTAAAGAATGAGCTAAAAATCTCAGTGTGCTCCTTATGGTGTATAAAACATACAAATAAAATAACTCGATAATAGTTATTTATAAAACATGATCACTACCCCATCCGATCACTAGAATGTGGTGCTCTAGAACGGTGGGAGCTAACTCTAGACAATCCCTCAAGAAATGATCGTCGAACCCACATTTGAAACAAGTACCCATCTTCTTCCTGCACTCTCCAAAATGATGCCTTCTATAGTACTCAAGAACGGTGGGAGTGTCTGAACGGTGGGAGCTAACTCTAGAAAATCCCTCAAGAAATGATCGCCGAACCCACATTTGAAACAAGTACCCATCTTCTTCCTACACTCTCCAAAATGATGCCTTCCACAATACTCACAAGTGACAACCAATGGTGCTCTAGAAGAACCACCCTGACTAGAAACTAGAACTGTCAGAGTAGATGACAGTGCAGATCTAGAACTCATACTACTTCTCTAAGAAGACTCGTCCCTACCTCTCTTGGTGGGACACACAAAAACATCAACAAAACCAGAAGATCCCCTTAATCGATCTCTATCTCTATCTCGGTCTCTATCCCTATCTCGGTCTTTATCCCTCTTACACTTCATACCTACTCACTCCATCTCCTCAGTAGTCTTGGCTATCTCTACCAATGTATCAAAGTCCATCTCCTTGTGGGTAGCAATTTGATCCATAATCTCATACCTCAGTCCATTTTCAAACCTTAAGCACTGATCCACCTCGGTGTCCACCAACCCCGGAGCATAACGACCCAGTCTGATAAACTCAATCTTATAATCCATAATAGTTATATCACTATGCTCCAAACTCTTAAACTCTTGACTTCGTTCCTATAAGTATTTCTCTCCGATGTAGAAACTCTAGAAATGTCCCTTGAAAAGATCCCAAGTTAACTGATCTGCTAGGATACTCTTGGAAATCGAATGTCACCATCTCATGGCTTCCTTCTTAAGTAAAGTTAATGCTCCCTTTAACTTATTCTTGGGCCTCAACTCCATCTCATCCATAATCCTCTTGGTATCCTCTAACCAGTACTCAGCATCTGTAGGAGGTCCCCCCAGTAATGCCCTCAAATATAACTACTTTAACATCCACCAGAGACATAAATATATCCACAGCAGACATATTAATAGGAGCTCTAGCTACCCTCTGAAACATGCGATAAATAGATCTATCTATGGCACTCAGATCCATCTCAGAATACTTGTTCTCAGTGATGGGAGGGTCTCTCGCAGGTGTAACTAGATCATCTTAGGAAGTAGATGGATGAACACGTAGAACAACACGATCTCTAATTAACGACAGGTCCTCTACAGAAACAAAAGACTGAGTCGCTCGCCCACAACCATGGCCACGACCTATCCTACGACTTCGAGCACTCATCAGATCAGATCTAATAGGCTTTACAAAAAAAATTCACACTTAAGTTAGATTGGTATAAGAAATCTCAAATCCATTTAAAATATTGTAAATCAAGGTAACATGGTGTTTGTAAACATAAAAAAATATCTTTTGAAAATACAATATTTGGACTCATTCATAGTTCGAGTGTTTAAAACCAAAAGCTCTTATACCACCAAATGTAACCCCCTAGACCCGACCTAGAAGGTACGCTTGAATCTAGACAGTCACATGTCGTATACATAATTTATTTCAGTAAATAAAATTCATGTAACGATAATATACTGAAATAACCATAAAAAAGTCTATACGATCAATATACAGAGATATCAGCGTCAGAAAACAAAATATCGACAATATAGATGCATGAAGACAGTAGTAAAAACACATTTCACCAAAGTATAACAAAAAGGGGGCATACAAAAATATACAGTCATACAAAAGTAAGGAGATATCAGCCTCCTAATACCAAGCCCGCTAGTCTACTATCTGATACTATCTAAAAAGTTAAAATTTAGAGAATGAGATAAAAATCCAGTATGCTCCTTACGGTGTATAAAATATACAGATAAAACATGATTTTTAAAACATGATAACTACCCCCATCCGATCACTAGAATGTGTAGGTTCCCCTGAACCATACACCTACTTGTACGGCTGGTAAGGACCTTATACTGATAGCATAAAGGCATGCGGTAAGGTCTTAGCCAATGCACAAAGCAAGGAGCCTGTGGTAAGGTCTTACAAGTCATAGACTATGCCTGAAAAACTTCCTCTAATCATACCCCCCAATGATAGTAAATATGCATGAATTTGAGTGAAAACAGTAATTTAATTAAATACAACATTAAAACATGTCATTTTTCATATTCAGATACAGAAACACGGTAACCAGAGATCATGTAAAAAATATGTGAAAATCATATATCAAAAGTCAAAACATATGGTAATACAAATGGCATTCAATCAGAATATTTCAATTTTCAATACAGTTCAAACATATAGTTTAAACCATTATTGTAACACCAAATAATAACACATTTATACCGATCTGAGAAGTCTGAAATGGTAGTCTACTTTCGAGTCTGCCTATCACGATCGACAGTAGTGCTAGACCCTACGAATTGAATAATTATCTCAAAATCCTAACATAAAATAAATAATAAACTTTAATTGAACAATTTACGAAAATCTACGACTAGCTCTCGAAGAACACGCAACATGTTGATCTATCAAATATGAAGTATTAGATCTAGTCGACCCTCGGTCAGGGGACACGGGTACCTTCACGAAAGTATAATCACATATCGATTTCATAATCAAATCCCAAATATATAAGTAGAAATGCTAAAAATACTTAGCATTTTCAGATTAACGGCTCGATTCGGGGCTTTCAGGTCAGAATTTGGAGAAACGACCCATAAAATCATACTAAGGCTGAAAAAACATCAATAGAGAAGTTTTTGAAAAAAAGTCAATGCTGGTCAACAGTCAAAGTCAATGTCGGTCAACGATTCGGCTTTACACAGCTTGGAACGGCTCAGCTCGTTGCGACTGAATAGGTTCGGGCCGGGTAAGTTCACTTAGGTCGGTTTGATTTTGGGTTTGGGCAGACGGGTTATGGGTCGATCGGGCGATCCGGTAGGCGGGTCGGGCGGATTGGGTCAGTGGATCGGGTTTGACCCATTTCTAGAAGGTCCACAAGCGGTGGACGATCCCCACACATAACGGCGGTGCATGGGGGCACATGCAGCAGTTCGAGCGGCCAAAAAATATGGAAAATTTTCTAAAAATTAATTTAAAGCTTTTTGAATCAATTACAAGGCTCAATTCACCACAGTGAACGACGGAGAGCTTGACATCGCTTCGTCAAAAATCAATTTAGCATACTTCTTTACACGCTGACAACAACGGCTACGAAACAGACACTGGTGAACTCGGGACGATGCAAGGAACTCAATAGTATGGGTGGTGCACTAAACAGAGCAACGGTTAGTAACGAATCGACAGTCAGTAATAACAATTGAAGAATATTTAATAAATTAGAGAATGAATTGATATTGAAGAAGAAAACTTAAAGAATTTTTAATAAATTGTAGAATGTGATTTGAGAAAGAAGGATATATGTAGTAGTATTTAACTTGAAATTCAATAACTGAGGGAAAAAAGTCTAACAATTGGAAATTAAAAATATTTAATTATTTTACTGTTAAGTGTAAATTAATAGGATTTGGGAAATTGCAAATTGAATGGAAGAAAGCTCTAGCCATTAAAATTAGAAGTGAGCCCCATTAATTATATGTGAATTTATATTATATGTATTACACACTTTTTAAGTTTTAGGAGTGATAAACTAAAGTTCGGCGGTGAGCCCCTGATACTATTACAATTCCTTTTGGGAAACTAATATTTATATGGAATGAGGGGCTCTCATTGTACACTTTAAAAGGGCACCCTGAGCAATTGCTGAAGTTGCTTGTCAAAAAATCGGCTCTGTAGCTCACCGGATAATATAGAACTCAAAAGGCTTCAGGGTTCGATAGGCGGAGGAGTGACAACAGATATGTGGCTTGCAAAGTACTAGGTCTAGAGGAGGTGTGCATTCGTGTATAAATTTTCAACTGGTCAACGTCAATTATAACATTGGTTTATGAGCAATAAATATATTATTTTGCAAGTTTCGATTCAATTCACTTTATGACATTTATCGATTAAAGGATAACAAATATCGTACCTTCTCCAAGGTCTTCCACGGAAGCTACTCTCAACCTGGCGTTGGGGGCAGCCTACAACCCTACCTCCCCCTTACCCTATTGCATATGAGAATTGGATTTTGTTGTTGTTGTTGTACCTCCTCCAAATTTTTTCTGCACGTTTACACCTTTGCTCTTGCTCCTCCACCTATCAAACCTCAAAGTCTCTAAAACTTTTAATTCTTTAACTAGCTATAATCCCCTGACATGATCAAACATAATATGACCAATACAAGCCCACGTAACCTACTAGTTAAATTTATAACATGATCGATACAAGCCCACACAACCTAACAGTTGAATTTAATATCTTACTATTAAATTTATTTTTTATATTGATTTGCAAATCATTATCATCTTTCTAAATAGATGAAAGAATGTAATTTTTTTTATCTAACTTGACGGGAGTTGAAAGTTTTTTCTTTAAAAAATGACAATTTGGAATCGATTGCATCAAATCAAACAATATTCCGTCCCCATGAAATAATTTTGATGGATTTATAAACGAAATAAAGAAATTTTTCTTGGCCCAATTCTTCTATTATTTGTAGCTTAATTTGGGCCAAAATCGGTCCAACTCCAAAACCTGGAAGATCTTTCGTCTTTCGTCTAAATAAAAACACCGACTTTTCGAAATCCGGCGGAGAATCGAACTCTTCGCCGGCAAGCTAATCGTCGCCCTCCTTTACTCCCCCTTGACTCTTCGGCGAACTCAACCGCCTCTAGCGGCGCATTTAATTTAGCACCGTCTTCTATCCTTTATAAAAAAAAAATGCTTCCTTTACAGCGAATAATTCGATTCGATCTTTGCCGCTTATCAACCGCTGCCTGTGTCTCTCGCCAAATTTTTCTTCCATTTTGTTTCATGAAGAAGATGAATGCTTCCCAGAAACCAATTTCCAGCAATTCTGTTTTAGTGAGTTCTCCGATCTCTAAACAAGTTTTCTATTTTTAGAGAATTTTGATCAAATTTTAATTGTAGAGGGTTGCTGGAATAATTACAATCCGCTGGTTTATTTTTTGATTTTATCTGTCACGGCTTCTTCTTTTGGTTAATTTGAGTGGAATTACTGAAAAATATTCGGGTGTTGTTCTATAAACAACAGATTACTGCTCAAAAGCCCTTTGGCAATGAATCTCCTGCTGAAGAAACAAGGCAATCTTCTTTGGGGGGGAAAATAAATGAGAAGCAATTTCAATCTAGCAATGAGATAGACTTTCCTTCATTGTCTGTGAATGCTGGTTCTAGTTCTAAAGGTACGAACTTTGGAAAATGGAGAAAAAGGACTGGTTCAGGATCGGAGCTGAGGCAAGAAGCTGTTAATTCTTCTGAACTCGAAGGGATTGCAAGCCAGCAGGAAGAAGGGGGAACGGGGATCGATTTGGAATTGCAGACAAGGCCTCGGCTCGTTAATTCTTCTTATCATGAGGGAATTGTGAGCATGCAGGAATCTGGATATAACGGAGTAGTGGATGTTGCAAGCCCGCTGGTAGAAAATTATTTCCCTAGCCATTTTGGAAAGAAGAAGGTTTATCGTAAAAACTTTGAAGAATCCAATAATGCTGTAGATACTAAGAGTTCTGAGTGTTCCGAGGGTTTGCCTAAGCACGAAAGATTCAATATATGCCTACCTCGACTTAGAGATATCAAAACACAAGAAATTTTGAGGCCTGGAATGGTTTTGCTGAAACATTATATATCCCTTCGTGATCAGGTTTTTTCCTTGAGGCTTAGCTTTTATTCGATTTGCATTCCCTTGTGAGAATCGGGTTGATCTGATAATGGATTCTTTTATCTTAATTTTTCAGATCGATATAGTCGAAACATGTAATTCACTTGGTGAAGGCCCTGGGGGATTTTATAGGCCAGGCTACAAAGATGGAGCAAAACTTAGACTTCACATGATGTGTCTTGGTATGAATTGGGATCCTCAGACAAGAAAATATGATAAGCGGCATCCAGTTGATAATTGTGAGCCACCCGAGATTCCGCTAGGATTTCGTCTTCTGGTTCAAAGAGCAATCAAAGATGCTCATTGCCTGATCAAGAAGGATTCTGATATGGTCAATCCAGAAGATATCCTTCCTTCAATGTCTCCAAACGTATGCATTGTAAACTTCTATTCAATATACGGTCGACTTGGCCTCCATCAGGTCTGTTCTTTACCTGGACATCCTTTGGATTCATCTCATTTGAACATCAAAACTTTAACAAAGTATTAAACTCGTATTGTGCTTTACAATGCAGGATCGAGATGAAAGCAGAGAAAGTATCCGTAGAGGATTACCTGTTGTCTCTCTGTCTATTGGTGATTCTGCCGAATTCCTATATGGTGATGGGAGGGAAATTGACCAAGCCAAGAAAGTGTTATTAGAATCGGGAGATGTACTATTATTCGGTGGTAAATCTCGAATGGTGTTTCATGGGGTGCCGTCCATCGTCCCATCCTCTGCTCCTGAGCCTCTTAAAATGAAAACCGGGCTTCGACATGGTCGTCTTAATCTTACCTTCAGGCAATTTTGAATACCTTGAACTATAAACACAACTCGCATATACATAGCCATTGCAGTATTCAATTTCTATAGCTCGAGTAATCTGTATTTTGAAGTGTCTCCTTGTTAGAATTGTTATACAGAAGCCAAAATATATGTAGAACAGCTAATTATTTCCAAAATTTCTAGTTGTTTGGTTCCCTCTCAATCTTAGCTTTTCTTGCCTGAGCTTGCATGTGGAAGCACTTGGCAGTTACAGTATTCAAAATTCGAGTTCGAGTTCCAAATATAGTATGTGTCTAACACGAATATGTTCGATACATATTGATTTTTCTTCAAATTTTTATGTACGAGTGTCGATGTTTAAGTACATTATGGAACGTGAAATGTAGGAGCAATAATACTGCTTCTTATACTAGCATGCGCCACATGATTCAACGTATTTGAACAAACCATTTTAATTGACGAAAATCCATGTTGGTTTCATAGAAAATAACTATAAGAATGTTAATTAAAAAAATTCCATTATTGGCAAAATTTATAATTTTAAACATGTCAGAAACCAGATAACTTGTTAAAACCCATACAATATTTCTTTGGAAAAACTGCACGGTCACCCAACTATCAGCAATTTTGGCTACGTACAAATTGCAAACAAGTCATTAATGTTGGCTTTCATTTTCACTATGGTCACTCAATGTAGCTTTTGTTTTCTTTTTGGTCACATACGATTAATTTTGTTAGTAAGATGATACATGTCACCTCTTGATTGATTTTTTAGAAAATAAGACAATTATTTGGAGGGTTGAAGGTGAGATTTGAAGTCTAAGAGGTCGACAAGGGATGTACGACTGGAGTGGAGAAGTAACAGCGGCAACTAAGCAAACAGGCGACAACAAAGATTAGGATTTGAGAGGGGGATTTCTTTTTGAAGGAATTCTAAATATTGAGGACTTTTTTTGAAATATTTTGAATTAGGATCAATTTGATGGAGTGTATAAATTATGAGTGCTAGAATTATTATTATTATTATTATTATTATTATTATTATTATTATTATTATATTATTATTTTACATCACCAATTTCATTAAGTCAACGGTCAAATCTAATGGCGGATGACCAAAACAAAAACATAATCTTAAGTATGATTTTTAAAGAAATAATTAAATGGTTAAAATAAAAATATAAAAATAGATAAGTGACTAAATAGATAATTTATCTAAGAAAAAAATTTACATGGTTGAAGCTGAGATTTGAACTGCCCTATAAAAAAAATCCTTCAATGCATAGACACTACACTCAAGTGTTACATTCACTACTTTGTTGAGAAAATATTATGTATAAGTATTTAGATTAATTATATAAAAGTTTTAGGTTAAATTGAAGTTCAAATTAATTATATATTATTACATCATGATATGAAAAATATGAAATAAATATAATTAATTAAAAGATTTTTGTATAATTAAAAATTAAAATCTTTAAATATTATTATTTTATAGTTTTATATTTTTAAATAGTCAAGTATAGTCTCTATCATATAATACATGTAATATTTAGGTGAAGTTGCTATATATTGGAGGATTTTTTAAGAGGACTTAAATCCCATCTCACAATCCTTTAAGAAATTATTTTATTCTTTTAAATCAATCAAGAAATGATATATATCACCATATTAATAAAATTAAGTATGAATGTTGAAAACAAAAATAAATATTAACTAGTGTACCAACAATTAGTTAGTCTAATGGGATGAGGTATTAGATCTTTTAAGTAAGGTCAGGGGTTTGAATCCTAGTATTTGCGAATAGAGCAAATTGGGTTGGGAGGGTTGCCCTCACTTTTTTAGTACCCGATCTGAATTAGTCGATCAATAGATCATATACCAGTGATTAATTAAAAAAATATTAACTCATATAATCAGACAAAAAATGATTTTTGTGATTTGTGTATAAAATAATTGAGGACAGAAGTAGCCTGAACCAAATGACTTTGTACTTACCTTAGATTCATTAAAAAAAATTGATGACAAAAGTAATTTTTTATTAGTGAGTAATTATTTGTATAATTTATTTTAATTTTTTTTTGAAATAGAAAAGGAAAGAAAAAGGAAATAAGTTATTAGATTGGCTCTACAATGTAATAATAATGTGTAATTGTTGAGAATCTTTATAATATATTATATCTTGTCATCATCCTAAATTAATCAAAAGATAATAATAAGAATGTGTATTTTTTATCAGATCATCATTTCTTATCTAAAAGTTAATATAACTCGATTAAAATATATGATATCTTATCATTATGATCTTAAATGAAAATAAGAAAACACACAACAATAACGTCTTTTTGAAAACTTCAAATTCTCATATATTTTAAATATGTTTTTTTCTTTTAAAATTTTAAACATCGGTCATGTTAACATAAAATATTATGTTGGAAATCGATGACGATATTCGATACTTGAATCGATTGGTTTGCTAGCTCAAACAATCGTCGTCCTGATTCTGAAACCAAGTGTGGAAACAATCCGGTATATGACAAGGTCTGCAACCTCATCAAGTAGGTGGCTGATATAACGATGATATGGAATCAAGCTTTGCCCATCGCTTTGATAGCGACCATCCTGTTGTTTGCCTTTGCCCTATGAATGGGATCCATACTCCCAACACGAACAAAAACAATCAGCCAAGAATACTCCAGAAATTCACGTCACAAACAAATGTGGAAATCCTATATGCCAACATTATTATGTACCTACACGTCTTATTTGCTTTCTACTCCTCATCCTTATCTTCTCCCAACTTTCAAACAATTATTCATTAAAAGAAGAAGAAAAAAACTTCTTCCTTTACTAAAAGCTGACAATAAATTATTGATTAATATATTAATTTAAATATTCATAATAAGTGAATTCTATATTAATATTACTATCTTTCTCATGTGCGTTTGTATATATGATTTGGATAACCAAAGTTGCTTAATATTAGGATGGGCATGAGAATCGAATTTGATGGGTTCCGACGTTGGGGTTTTAAAAAAAAAAACAAATCAGGTTTGGGTCGGGTCGGTTTTTTTAAATGTGATGTTCAGGTCGGGTCGGATTCGGATTCGGATTTATGGTGAAAAATACTCGACCCGACCCGAAAAATACAATTTTACCTTATATATTTAGGATTAATTACAATAATATCTCTCTATATATTATTTTTTAATTAATCATTGTTTTTATTGAATAAAAATAATATTTGTTATTATTTCGAGTCGGATTTGATCGGATTCATATTTTATTTCAAAAAGTCGGATCGGGTTTGGGTCAGGTATAAGGTATATATTTTTTGGGTCAGATTGGGTTGGCCGAAACCCAACCTATGCCCATCCCTTTTAATATTATAGTCTTTTTCTCTTCTCATGATGTCATTTATAAAGTTAAAATGCAATAGATGGGTTAAGTTTCATTTATACATTTTTAATTTAAAATTTATTTAATATCGTTAGATAAATGAAAATAAATAATTGAGATTAAATCTCTTTTTCAGTGAATATTCTGTTAATTTTATAAAGTAATATTTGTTCAAAATTTTTCTTAATTGTTAACAATGCACACAATCTACATACGTAATTGCTTAAACCCACGACTTCTAAGAAGAACACAGGGCCAAAGAGGGAGGGGCACCAATCCAAGACCCATAAATTAAAAGAAATTCTTAAAATAGTATTTTTCTCTTATTATTTTTATAACAAATTAAAAATATATAAAATAAAATAATGGACTCGTGAGTTTATTAAAGTGTCAATTATCATTATTTTTTTTGCACGAACCAACTTACTTCAGTGGTTAAAGGAATTGTTATTGTTCCTAGAGGTCACGCGGTCACACATTCGAGAACAAGTAGCTGCAGTAGGGTGACTGAACGTTCATTGTCAAATGATTAAGAATATTTAGAACATATATTATTTTGTAATCAATTTTAATAAAAAAAATTATATTTTTTCGATAATGCGGAAATAACAAGCTTAAGATATGGGAGTTTTATCCCTAACAACTAAGTCAACCACCTCCATTAGAGGATGTTGATATATCACCATTTCTAGGGGACGGCTTCTAGCCATTGCGACGCTTGTCTGCAACCATGTTAGCCTCCCGGTGAGTATACTTAACTTTCGCCTCCCAATCTCTAAGAAGTAAAGCTTGTATCATCGTGACAGTAGCAGAGTCATCTCTTTCTCGAGGTGAATTGTTGAGAAGCTCTACTATTGTCCGACAGTCAGTTTCCGTCTCAACCTTCCGAAACTCCATGTCCCAAGCAATCAACAAAGTGTCATGGAGAACCCACAACTCAGCATTCAAAGCTATGCAAAAGCCTATACTCCTTGAAAAGCCTCGAATCCAATTACCATGATCGTCTCTCACCACCTCACCTGTTGCGACCATTCCCATCGTTCCTCTCATTGCTCCATCTGCATTTACTTTTACCCAGTTTTGGTCAGGTTTTTTCCAACAGTGAATTCCCAGGTTCGACCCCCTACTCCCAGTTTTGAGTATCTCTGTTGCTGCAATTTCATCTTTAAACTGAATGCATTGTGGTAAAAAATCATCACGTTCCACATAATCATCTTGCAACAGAATACAGCAGCGCCGCTTCCATAATTTCCAGCATGTTATAACAAACATCAGACCCTAATGACGGTCATTAAACGAAAATCACCACTGCCTTGGGCATTAGTAATAAGCCATTCATGAATGAATAGGCATTAATATAAAGGTTTGCAATTTATTGGCTTTAATTAATTTTTGCCATATATCAGAAGCAAAAGAACATCGATGTAAGACATGGTTCATATCCTCAACCCTATGCTGGCATAACTCGCATCTTGTCGAAGAAGCAATACGTCTACGATACCTTTCATCGTTGGTTAGCAACCTCCCATGAAGCGCCACTCATAGAAAAACTTTTAATCTCTGTGGCCCGTTTAATTTTCACACAAAACGCCACCGATCACCATTATCGTTACTCGTTTGAAGGAGTCAAAACTGAGTAAGCTGACTTAATTGAAAAGTTTTTGTTAGCCTCCCATCGCCACCTAGAAACATCGTCACCAAAAGCTTGATTAGGAGGATACATTGCAGCAATGTTATTACAAATGCGTTCAGATAAAACAGTACGTAAATGCATCAATATTTATTTCTCAAAATTCAAAAAAAAAATAAATCTCTTTAATTTTGGTCGTTCAAAATTATCACCATCAATTCACCAAATATCTTTTCGGATTTTTCATGTTAATGAAAATTTTTATTAACATTATTTTTTTCTTCAAAACTCAATGGGAGGAATAAATTTAAGTACAATTAGTATGCTTCTTTTCTCTTCTGTATTTCACAGTTCTCCTTAAAATTATTACTCTCACTTTTTAATTTCGCATATTTCTCACAAATACAGTTACAATTATTTATCATCTATTGTGATGCATAAATAATATTGAAGATTGTTCTTAAAATTCTAGGTAGACTATGTTTTCAAATTCTTTCTTTTAATTTTTATATATTTTCAAATTCTATATAAGATCGTTCTTTTATTTCTAAATGATATTTTATGTATTAAGAAAAATATGTGAGAAAACATTGATTTTAACACTATCATTAATGATTTTTGCATCATGAAATATTCAAAGACAATGTTTTTTATAAGTATTTGTATATTTAAATATATTTTTTGACATTTTTATATTGTTATGAATTATTATTTATTTAATTTAATAAAAATTATAATATAAATTTTATATTAAATTTTTCTTAAATTTCTATTGAATTAGGAGCCAATTTCTTTTATTTTCCCCTCGAGTCAAAAAAATAATCAGAATCTACCTTGAGAAAACAACATTCATCTTACCCACTAAGATTACTTCTGAGTTCTTTATTTGTTTCACTCAAGCAAACTATTTTATTCGTATTATTACATGATACGTTAATTGATTATGTTAAACAGTTATAGTTTCATTTATTTGTTTTTTATTTTTTATGATAAATTTCCTTAATGGTTTAAGAATGGTTGTTATTCCTAGAGGTTTAAGGTTCAAGCACTAGAGGCTGTAAGATATTTGAGCTTGTCAAATGATTGAATAAGAGTATTTATTTTTCAATTTTAACCGAATTAACTGACCGAACCGAATTAGTTCGATCAGAGAACATTTAATATTTTTCAATATTATGTTAATGATTAATTTGGTTCGAAATCGGTTAATTAACTGAATTAATCAAATTAACTGAAATTATTAAATATTGATTATATTATATATATTAAAATATATATTTTAAGCTCAAACCCGTTAAGAATTAAGATCCAATTATTTTTAACTACGCTAGACTCATTAAATTATCAATACTTAATTAAATTTTAACCCAAATAAAAAAATTCTTCTATTATATTCAAATTAATCTAATTAAAAAATAAATAAAAAAATTTCGGTTAACCGACTGAAATAACTGAACTTTATTCAGTCCGTTAATATTTTTTTAAATTCGGTTTGGCTAACGGTTAAAGAAAAAAGTTTAATTAATTCGGTTAATGAAAATTTAATTCGGTCGGTGGCCTAATTAATCTTTTGAATACCTTATGGTTGAAAGTATTTAGAACATATACTACCACCTGTAAGCATCCTAAATTAATTAAAAAAATTAAATCTTAAATTTAAATTCCTATATATATATTCCCAAATTAAAATACTATACAAATGGAATAAAGTCGATAGAATCCTTTGACAACTTTATATCGAGAGTTTCAATTTATTTTATATGGTTCGAGAATTAATTTAAAGCAACTAAAATTATTTAATTAAAATTTGCGTTCTTTACTAGACGTTATGTTTTCGAACAAATTTATTTATATCTAATGGCAATCAATAGCAATAGATAGACCGATTCTTACTGAAAACTTTTAATTGGAAATAAAAATTAATATAAAATTTAGTCACAGTTTTCACGTGAAACTTGAGTTACTTACCATTGCGTGTTGTGTTTACTTAACAAATAAACAAATAAACCAATGAATATAAAAGGAATAATTATTTACATTTTTTCTTCGATATATATAGTTTGTTCATTAATTATTATATGTGTAAATCGGAGAGCATACACAACGAGAGCGTGTAGGCATGAGTACACCTATATCAAGTCTCTACTCATACTGGCTGTAACTGCTTTGCATTATCTAAGTGCAACTCTAATTTTACTGTGTATTATCTATATGAAATGCTGATTTTATAATTAATTCCGTTAGTCATTATCTAACTCGCGTACCGCATATTCTCATGATAATACAATGGGTAAATATCTGATATGAAAAGTATGAATTTGAAATAATTTGATTTCGAAAAGAAAAATACAGTTTTGCAATTATATGAACTGAAAAATAAAAGTACAGATCTAAAATGTCATAGTATAGTCTGAATTACAAATTTTTATAATAAGTTCTTATTACGAATTTACATTTGATTTTATACATATTTTATTTTATTAATGTTTGTATATGATACATATATTGTATGTTTTATATGTTAAATATTTTATCTAGTTTAATTTTACTTTGTTGATTCACTAAGTGAAAATTTAGCGTGTGAGTGTTTCACATGTATGTGCAAGTTAGAAGGAGAAAATAGGGAGTATATCAGTATCATTTTAGAGGAATCAGTTCTGCCACCAGAATCAGTAAGTAAGGACATCCTGTCTATTAATTTATTTGGTAGTGACATGTATATCAAATAAGTTTCCAGCTGCTCTGATTCGAGTCTCTTTAAGATATTTTTTTCTAAGTTACGAAGGTTTGGTTTTACAAAGGTTATTATTAATTATTAATTTGGTTTATTAAATCGTAATCATTTATGATAGAAACGATTTTCAAATCAGGCAGTTTCTAATCGTTTTGATTTAAGATATGTTACAATACAGAACTGTCTAAAACATTATTTGAATTGAATTTAAATTTTGATATTTAAATATTAAATTATGATTTTGTGTGATTATTAGTTTTAAAATAAATAAATGCATTTTGATATTTTAAAGAAATAATTTTTGTACTGATTTTCAAATAGTAAATGTTTCGTATGACTGATGTGATACCTTTAACTCATATACGAGTACTTATATGAGTTAAGGGTGTTACAACATGTATGTTAACGGTATAAAATTTTTGAATGAGGTAAGCAAAGGTGGAAACCATCAACAAAATAGGCCACTAATTGAAGAAGATTCATATTTTAAGGTAGACACAATAAAATTTTAGGATGGACACCATTAATAAAATAGATGATTAATTGAAGAAAAATCAAATATCAGAGTAGGTACGTGTACACTCTCAACCATGAGTGCTTAGGCCACGGACGGTAGGGTCCGAGTGGTGTTGAAGAAGATGAGTTAGTTTGATTCCCACTTCTCTAATTCCATCTTCCCCAACTAAGTGGAAGTTGATGATACTGTTACTGTCGATTAAATGAGTTCATTTAAACAAGGATAAAGTAAAAATTAAATATTAATTTTATTAATCATAATAATATAAATTAATTATAATAATAAAAATTTAATTAAATAAAGATATTATACTGCTTTCAATAGGAGACACAGATAGTCATTCATTCAACCAAATTATAATAGAGTTCTAATAACACACCTTGTCACCAACTAAATGCATCTTTGTCCTATACGACAAAAAATACTATTTCTCTAAATAATATTATTTGGATTCTATTTTGTAATTAAATTAAAAAAATGTCACTCATAAATTAATCATAAAATTATCGTACTTTAATTTTAGGTGATAGTTTTCTTTTATTTGTAAAATATTTTTTAATTTTTTAAAAATCTTTATATAACTTTTTTACTTTTATAAATCAAATAAAAATATTTTTATTATAAAATAAAAAAATAAAGAAATAAAAAATAATAATAAAACACTGAGGTGGCTCAAAATGTTTATATAATATTTTTCCAAAACTTTATATTTATAAACATAAAGAATATATATATTATACATAACTTTAATTTTAATAAATTTTACAATCTACGTAATAAAATAATATAAAATTTTATTTAATAATAATATTTTAATCATAATAGATGTTCAGATAAATAATTATTCATAATATTTTAAAAAGTATTTTCAATTTTTTAAGAACTTTAATTAGAATGGATATCCAAAATTTATTAACTTGTCATTTTTGTGCCTCACCATGAATCAGATATGCCAGGCCAGACAATGGCAAGTGACAAGTGGCAACATTTCATCGACGGCTAATATTAAGCCAGGTATGAATAAGAACAAAAGTGTAATTATAAAGGCAAAAGAGGGGCATTTATTTAGACCTCGTTCTCGGCGAGCAGTAAAGTACAGGTCAGCAATGCCTTGATTCTCAATATAAACATGCGTTCCCAACCCGGGCTCAAATCAGAACTGAATCTCCTCTGTATATTCCCTGCCTTCCCCGTCTCTAAACAACCAAACACAGGCCTACATTATCGACGGTAAAAGATGCAGAGATTTATTCCGGTGAGGAGATTATTAACGGAAGCAAAATCTTCTCTCCGCCGTCTTCGACGATGCTTTTCTCAGGTGACTCAGAATGAGGTCGATAAAAGCGATGGCTTTGTTCCTAAAATGCCCTCCTTTGACTACACTCCACCTCCTTACACCGGTCCTTCCGCTGATGAGATCCTTTCCAAACGCAAGGAGTATCTCAGCCCCGCCATGTTCACCTTGTACAGCAAACCAGTGAGTTCCTTTTTTATACTTCTTTTTGAATCAATGGATCTATGGAGCTTTCAGTTGCATAACTGAAATCAAATCAATCATTGTCTTTTAAGATTTAAAAGCGGTAGTCACTTGATAATCAGCGGTTCTTTTGTAACGTCTACCACGTGTTTCTGTTCATGCAAAGCGTGGATTTTAATTTGATATTTTTCGTTAATTAACAATCTAAATGTCTTGTAAAAGATTATTATTCGCTCACTTGATTTCTTTATATATTTTTTTTAAACTTAATATAAATAAGACGAAGAAGAAGATGAAATTATTTAGAATGGTTCACTACGGCTCTTAATTCACCATCTGTTTGGCTGATTATTGGATTCATTGAACTAAATCTTAGCAGAAGATTTTTCCTTATTTGAATTTTTACTCCTGTGTTCCCATCATTTGGATTCTGTCATTGGTTTTTACGACTTAACTCGAGTAAATATTTCTCCTACGCCCCCACATCAGCCTCATATAGAACCAGACAAATTCTGAATAAATCCATAACGAGGGCTGTGGTGAAATCAGATTGGCGGTGGGCCATTGTGCCAAACAACGGGCTTGGAACGGGTTTGTTTGATAATTGTTAACTTTGTCATTTTAATAATGGATAATGGATATTCTTTTTCCCCCATTTTCTTGTTTTCAGCTGAACATAGTGGATGGGAGGATGCAGTATTTGTTCGATGACAAGGGGCGAAGATACCTAGACGCATTTGGAGGGATTGCTACTGTGTGTTGCGGCCATTGTCATCCTGACGTAGTAGAAGCAATCGTCAATCAAACCAAGCGCTTGCAACACTCCACTATTCTCTACCTCAACCATAGCATCGCTGATTTCGCTGAGGCCCTTGCCAACAAGTTACCCGGCAACCTCAAGGTGATTACCGTCCAATTATGAGATAATACTGGGTATATATGAGATAATACTGAGTATATATGAGATAACTTAAGATCAAATTTTGACAATAGTTTGAGATTTTTTTTATTTTATTTCTCAAAAGGAACTTGGAGTTGAAGAATGCACGAGGAATTTTTATTTACTATTTATTTCTTTTATGTTGGTCATTGTAACAAGTTGTATATGTGGATTTGGTCTCGATGTACCATAAATTGGGCTTCTGTTTTGGGGTTATGTAGGTAGTATTCTTTACAAATTCAGGGACAGAAGCAAACGAGTTGGCAATGATGATAGCAAGACTATATACTGGATGCCATGACATAATATCATTGAGGAATGCATATCATGGGAATGCTGCGGGGACCATGGGAGCCACTGCCCAAAGTAATTGGAAGTTCAATGTTATACAGGTATGTGGCTCTTTTTCTCATGGTATATTCTTGAAAGATTTATTGTTCCCCAAGTATTTGCCACTATTTGTGTCCGATTACAGTTGTTAAATATGAAACAACTTGGGTAGGTGGTTATTAGGACACACTGATGTTATGTCAATCTTATTTTATTGTTGGATTGCCAACCAGCATATTTTTTGCTATGGCATAAACGTTGTACTTGTAATTTACATCTTATATTTGCCTAGCTACTAAAAGGATGCTGTAATTGATATCAATATTTTGAGGAGAGAATTTTTTATAGTGCCTAAAATGCTTAAAGTATGTAAATATTATTCTTTTGGTTAGTATTGTGCAGATGAGCTGCTTTTTTTTTTCAGTATGAAGGGAAATGATGAAAACAGATAAAAGATATCTCAATTGTGTTAATTATCTGAATTCTATTAGAACTTATTGGCAAACTTGTGCATAGGTTTACCAGTTTACCTCAATGTTGTGTGAGTAGAAAATACGTATTAATGCATCACATGATGTTAGCTAGTTCTTTTATTGCATGGACCACCATTTGTTATCTTTTACACCATAAGGTCCATAACTTTTGACGATGATAGCTAGCAAACCATGCCATATCATTGCAGCAAGTGCTGATGTAAGATAAAAGAACACTTCAACATCTCCCTCCTCCATTTTTTTCCTTTTCCCTTGTAAGGGTGGATGCAGGTGTCTAAAATTCAATCCTTCCTGTATGGAATAGCCAATGAATCCTCTATTAGACAGGTTTTATTTATGTAATGTTTGACACCTTTAGTACTAAAGATTTGTACATATATTGATAATATCTAAAGCAGATATAATTAAAAATCAAATCAACCTAATTGTCTAATCATGCCCAAACTATTCCACCTTATATATGTTCACTGCTTATAACCCAATGTTATGGCTTGTAAAGTTTAGAAGCTTGTTATGTTTCTTTTTAATTTTAATATGCCAAGTTTTGATATTATGAAATAGAAATCTGTCAACTTAAGTATGCCTAACTCATAAATATGTGCATCAGAGTGGAGTTCATCATGCTGTAAACCCAGACCCATACCGCGGTGTCTTTGGTTCTGATGGAGAGAAGTACGCAAGGGATGTCCAAGATCTTATCCAATTTGGAACTTCGGGCAACATTGCTGGTTTCATTTCTGAAGCTATACAAGTAATCACCAATATTCAGAGTCTCCTTGAATCTTCATTTCCTTTTATCAAAATTTCATGATTTTATAGTGAAGACAACATCGCCTAACATTCCATGTTTTTGTTGACAGGGAGTTGGTGGAATCATAGAATTGGCCCCGGGTTACTTGCCTGCTGTTTATAGCACCATAAAAAAAGCTGGAGGTCTTTGCATTGCTGATGAGGTTCAGGCTGGGTTTGCTCGCACAGGGAGCCATTTCTGGGGATTTGAGAACCATGGGGTAGTTCCTGACATAGTGACAATGGCAAAGGTTATAAGTTCTTTCACTTTCTTAGTGTTATTAAAAGGTCCTTCCTGCCTTCCTTTTCTAGATGTGCATCATAACAGTAATCATATTCTTGTGGTAGCAGTTTTTTTTTTAAAAAAAAAAACTAAGTACACAAGAATCTGTTTTCGCGTAGCTTATCCATTCACTTACAGCTAACTTTTGTGCAACGATATGTTTCTTTTATCACATTGATAGGGCATTGGAAATGGCATCCCTCTGGGTGCTGTAGTAACTACCCCTGAAATTGCGGTGGTCTTGACTCGCAGGAATTACTTCAATACCTTCGGCGGGAACCCTGTATGTACTGCTGGAGGGTTGGCCGTCCTGAAAATAATTGAAAAAGAAAAGCTCCAGGAAAATGCATTTGTTGTCGGGACCTATTTGAAAGAGAGACTAACCGCACTAAAAGATAAATATGACCGTAAGCTTTTATCCTTTCTCCTGTATAAACATTCTCCAATCCAACGGTGACTAACATTGATGATTGTACCATGTATGGATGTCTGCAGTCATCGGTGATGTGAGAGGAAGAGGATTAATGCTTGGAGTCGAATTCGTCACGGATCAGAAGCTCAAGACTCCTGCAAAGCTTGAAACTCTTCACATAATGGACCAGATGAAAGGTTAGGGATCTTCCAATCCCCACATTAATCGTACCATAGGATGTACTATGCTTCAACTCACTAACAAACCTACTTATTTTATTCTTCTAGAAATTGGAGTATTGGTGGGAAAAGGTGGATTTCATGGCAATGTATTTAGAATCACCCCTCCTCTCTGCTTAACTAAGGAAGATGCAGGTCGGTTGCTCTTCTTCGTATAATCATCATAGCATCCGGTACCGTTGGGTTTTTAATGAATGATGATTTCTTGTTGCAGATTTCCTTGTAGATGCAATGGATTACATCATAGCGAGTATGTAAAGCATCGGGCATAAAACGTGAACGAAGCTATCACTATAGGATCGTTCATCCACAAAAGTCGCTTTAATCACTTTTCTATCATAACACCCCTATTGCTGGTGAAGTCACGAATGCACATAGGTTTCTGCTTCAATAAACTAATAGGTTTGGTACAATGGTTTCGCAATATTATGCTATTAATGAGTCAACAACTCGTTGTCTCTTGTTCAAACTCTTCCATTTCGGACTTGAACTATTTGAAGTAAAGAATAAAGTTTGATGGTTTAACCGTATGAAATATCAAAGCATGTTGGAGAACAATTACTCAATTGCTTGTTTAGCATGTGTTCATGAATGCCTTATGGATCTTAATGTTTTGACTGTAATTTCGAAACAGAGAATGGGTAAAATGGATTGCTCGAGGGTTAATTTGCAACCAACTGTATAATTTTTTGTTTACGCCTTAGGCGAGAATTAGTAGACGATAACCCAGTATGAGAGCTAAAGCAACATCATTCTCTCCTTTTTCTCCATATGTTCCGGAAGCATATTATATACCCCGATAGAATTTACAAACAATGACTATGTTCATTCCTAAGACATGGCCTACATACCCGAAAGTCTAAAAAAGAGATCAATAAATCCATGTTACCTTCTGCAAAATTCGATTTGATGCACATAATTTTCATTTTTATAAAAAATTGATTTCATAATCTCATTTTCATTAACAATCCATATCATTTCATGTAAATACATAGAAACAGAACATACATGTTTATATGCCTACCTTTTCGTAATACAGAAAATAATGCACACCTCTAGTGAACAAAAATTTGTAATTTCAAAAAACATAGAAAAAATCTACTTACTCTTAACACTTAGTTTAGATGATTAACTTAACTCCTGATATTGCAAATGAACATAGCAACTAAATACACTCGCTGATCTTTGTTGATATTACTACTGAAAGGTTCTGAAATAATAAATATTCTCTTTCAATTGTTGGAATCTGCCTCGAATACATTAAATCCACCTCAAATGACATAAAACAAGATCTCCAAGAGTCCAGAAGCAAAGGGAAAAAAAATAAAAAATCACCAAACTAATTCAAATGATGTAGCTTCCTTATAAATTAAAATAGTGACTAAAATTATTAACTAAATTAAATCAAACAATCCTCCATTCCTTCTCTCGTCAGCCGAACATGAAGTAATGATCTAACACGCTTCATCATGTGGATTAAGGATGCGGTTAACTGAGAGCGTCTTTACCGAGGCATAATCACACCTTTTATCTTATGTGTTTCAAAATAGTATCCTATTTTAAATCAATACTGTTTGGGTACTATTTTGAGATACGAAACATGGATTATTCTCATAAATTCACTTTATTTTATTATATTTATTTATTCAATAAAATTATTGATAATATTAAGGTGTGTTTTTTTCATGTAATTTCTTTTATATTTTTTTTGTTTTTCAGTTTTTAATTAAAAAAAAATTGATTATTGTAAAACTAACTACAAATCAAGGCCTACATAATTTATTCTCCAAAACAAATAATCCTTAGTTCATAGAAAATTATATATATATATATATATATTGAATGCTTAATACAGAAATATGTGTATAGATTATGTCTCGAAAAACGTTTTAGTACATAAAGAATTTTCGTTAAAAGCAGGTGATTAATGTTTCAAACGTTACACTTTTAAGTGTCCGGGCTTTAACTATCATTAAAAATCTCCGTTAAGTGACACATGTAACATCTTAGTAATTTTAAGAATTTATAAAAAAAATAAAAAATATTTTTTGTAAAAGAATAATCTGTGCGTGCATCCCCTCCCCCCTCCTTCCCCTTCCCCTTCCCCTTCTCCATCCCCTTCCTCCTTCCCCTTTTCATAGCTGTCGTCCGATCGGTCAGTCGTGACCATCATTATCATCAACATCGACTTCGACCTCCGATTAAACTCCTGTTGACCTTTCGTAGTAATATGTCATCGTTTGTCGTTGAGGAGCGCTCAAAGTTTCGTCGGATACCGTCGCTGTTATTCATTGATTCCGATCGATTCTGACGTCGTTAAGCAACACTGTCGCCACCATTCCAACCACTATGCAATTTCAATTAAAACCCAAAGTTCGACGATGACGGCTGAAGATGTCCGATGACCGTTTGGGTTAAGAAATTAAAGTTGAGAATTAGGGATTTGAATATTAGAGATTTTAGATTTTGGGATTTTTGGTGACAGTAAAGATGATGATTGATCAATAGGTAGGTGACGATGGGTGGGTGATCGCTCGACGATGACAATAGTAACCGTAGTTGGACGACGACGGTTAGTAATGAAGTTGAAAGGAGAGATTTTAGTTTTTTAGGATTTTTTTATAATTTTATAAAAAAAATTGGGTTTATATAAATAAATTAATTTTTTTGATAAAAAGTAATATTTTTTATTAAAAAATTTAAAAAATTAAAAATAAACGATATACATCTAAAAGTATAATTGAAAAAAAATTAAATATCTATTTTTAATGAAAAAAATTTTAGACACTAAATATTTTTTAAGACATAATTTAAACACTTATTTTTGTATTAATCGTATTCGGAAATATGTATGTATGTATGCATACATTTATATATGTATATATTTGATTAATACAATATTAAATATACAACAACGCACAAACACTGGAACGCATAGTCAAAATCCTTATTTGAGAGTAGAGTTGAGACCCCCTCCTTAGTTTCTCTCCCTTTCCTTTCTCTTAAGTTTTAGTTTTAATTTCAATTTCATTTCATTTTTCTTGTGCCGTCACTGTTGTATGCGTCACCACCATCATCGCCGCCGTGACATAGGGTTTCTTCTAGGGTTTGAAATATTCTATTTTCGATTATTGTTTCGTCGTTCAGCTTTCCGAGCTGGATTCTCTCTCTTTCCTCAGGCGAATCTCCATGCGCCGCTGGTTCAGCGGCTTTGTTGATTAAATCACTTCTTCTTCTTCTTCTTCTTATCTGTCTCGCTTTATTTACTCGATCAGTTTAAAGAACAAAGGTTAGGGTTGTCCCGTGGGGGGAATTTAGTTTGTTTTTAATTAAATTTTCATCCGAGGGCTTTGTTTGCTTCTTTTTTTCATTTGGGGGATTTGGATGGCATTGGGCGATCTGATGACGTCACGGTTTTCGCAATTGTCTTTGGCGGTATCTAATCATGTCACGGACGGCAGCGGTGGCGACTACCATGAGGATGCTTCTTCTGCTGACCTGGCCTCTCAAAGGAGGGATTTTGATACCGCATCCACCAGCAGTTACGCCAATGCCGCTGCCTCCTCCGCCACAGTGCCTACAAGCATGGCTTATTTGCCTCAAACTGTGGTCTTATGCGAGCTTCGACATGCTGCCTTTGAAGCTTCTACTCCTACTGGACCCTCTGATAGCGGCCTTGTCTCCAAATGGCGTCCCAAGGATCGAGTAAGACCTTTCCTTTTAACCTCCTTTGTTCCCCAATTATTCCATTGATCTGATTGATTATATTTAATCACAGGCTAAAAAGGAAGAATGAGAACTTATTTAGACGCAGTAGCAAAATATGGGTGTTGTGCTCGTAAATAGAATTTTCTATTGTAATTCGAGAGTATGTAAATTTTGAGTTGATGCATAGGTTGTCCAGAATGATATATGTATCACATTAGTATTCTTATGCCGATCCATATCCATGTGATGTGACTTCCTGTATACTAGTAACATGTGAGTATGGCTTTAGTCCATTGAGTAGAAGATTACAAGGGGGGATTCTCAGATGTGCTAGCTTAGCGTTATGGAATTATTAGCGTCAATTAAGTCTCGGTGAATTTCTTGAATTTGGTATGAGCACAGGGGAAATGAAGGTTTTTTGGTCTTGACTTAATTCTAGATAAAAGCATCAGAGAAACATGGAGTTCGATATTTTGTACAATAAGTAATCTTCCTTTGTTTTTTCCATTCTAGTTTGTCCCTTGTGCAATATTAATCAATTTTCTTTTATGTGACTGAATAAGATCTTAGATAATAGGATGTTTGTTTGTGATATATATTTCAAATTATCCATAAAGTTTCCCATTATTTGTCATGATATGGGATGCTTGACCATATTAGCTTGACTTTCGACATTTTATGCAGATGAAGACAGGATGTGTAGCTCTAGTTTTATGTTTAAATATTAGTGTTGATCCACCTGATGTAATAAAGATATCTCCTTGTGCAAGAATGGAGTGCTGGATTGGTATGTTTTCTGATTTAAATATCTCCTCTTGTTTTTGCATGTTTGTGTTTAATGGTTCTTGATGCTTTGATCCTCGTGGTTATTTTTATCTAAGAAATCTTTAATAAGTTTTTTTATTATTTTATCACGGAAATGAATTAAATTATAGTGGGTTTCTTTGATGATGCATGAATTTCTAATATTGGAGTTTGACTTTTCACTTGGCTGTTACTCTTTTTTGCCCCATAAAATTGTCATTTCTGCTTTGTGATGTTGGAAGAGAATTGATATAATAACCTTACAAGAGTACTAATGATGGTATACTTCCAACTACACTCGTATAACCTTTTACCAGCTGAGAACCAAATGAGTACCTGCATTCATCCAAGGGTAAATATTGGAATACCATGTAATTATTAGTGCTTTGATTCATTTGAGAGCTATAAAAGAGCTTTGAGGTTTTTCAAGGAGGAAAATAAATACCAAGCAGCAGGAATACCTACCATGTATTTACTATGTTATGGCATTTGAGTACTAGTAGTTCCAAACAACCAACAGAAAATTGGATAGAAGTTGATAAGAACTTTTTAGTATGGGGTTTATATACCATTGCTTTTAGTGTGATTACCGCTGCATTGAGGTGGTATTTGGCATGAAATTACAAGAATGCTCATCCATTTATCATTTCTCTGTATAACACATGTACTAGCCTTTGCTTCACTTGGTTTCCGTGAAGGAGGTGAAAGAAGTTGGAATCCTAGTATTGCAATTAAATAAAATAAGTTTTCCATTGTAATTTCTTTTCCACCATCCTTTCCCTGTTGACCAAGTGATGTAATCTTTTATTCGTTTTAGTGTTTTTATCAGGGAAGTCAGCTTGTTCCACCATTCTCTTTTTTTGATTGTTGGCAGATCCTTTTTCTATGGCACCACAAAAAGCTCTTGAATCCATTGGGAAAAACCTAAGAGATCAATATGAGAGGTGGCAGCCCAAGGTGTGGATATTTTTTCATACCTTTTATTCAGGTTACTCTATCAAGTTTATAATCTAAATTCTTATTGAGTGTAACCAGGCTCGCTGCAAGGTTGAACTTGATCCTACAGTAGATGAAGTGAAGAAACTTTGTAATACATGTCGTAGATATGCCAAGTCAGAACGGGTTCTATTTCATTATAATGGACATGGTGTTCCAAAGCCAACTGCAAATGGTGAAATCTGGCTTTTCAATAAGGTGTTATTTTGACTGTTATGAAACCATTCCTGATGCTTTTTGTTTGTACTGTTGTGCCCTGCTGAGCCTGATCATTTCTTTTCCCAGAGCTACACACAATATATTCCCTTGCCCATCAGTGACCTTGATTCATGGTTAAGAACACCTTCTATTTATGTTTTCGATTGCTCTGCAGCTGGAATGATTGTTAATTCCTTCATTGAGGTATTTGCTTGTGTTCTATCATAATTTCTTGGTAGTAATTATTTTCTGGTTTCTACTATATTATTATGTATCTTTTTATCTTTTTTTTTTTTTTGCTTGTTTTGATTTTTGAATTGAATTTGGTTGACAGCTTCTTGACTCTGACACTTCTAACTACTCTGGATCTGCACGAGATTGCATTCTGCTGGCTGCATGTGAAGCACATGAGACACTTCCACAAAGTGCTGAATTTCCTGCTGATGTGTTTACTTCTTGTCTTACTACACCTATCAAAATGGCATTGAGATGGTAGAACTTCTAGCCATATATTTAGGATGTGTTTTATTTTTTTCATTTTGGGTAATGTTTGCCTTGTGGTATCCATGCTGTAGATAAATCATGGCAATGAATCTTCGAGGCTTGTAAAAGTTTTTCATCTTTCTATCTTTTTCCATTTTTTGTGCTTTTGATTCTTACTCCACTTTTGCCTGTGTAATATTTTACGAAGTAGACTACACCTATCAAAATGGAATTGAGATGGTAAAACTTCTAGCCATGTATTTTGGGTCGCGTATATTTTTCATTTGCGAAAACTTGGCCTTTTTCAGTATCCACGCTGTATATATATCATGACAATGCATCTTCAGGCTCATAAAATTGTTTATATATCATGGTAAAACTTCTAGCCGTATATTTAGGATGTGTTCTCTTTTAAATTTGTGTATATATATCATGTCCTGTTAATGTGTTAACTTGTATTACCACACCTATCAAAATGGCATTGAGACGGTAAAACTTCTAGCCATGTATTTTGGGTCATGTATATTTTTCATTTGTGAAACCTTGGCCTTTTTCAGTATCCACACTGTAAATATATCATGATAATGCATCTTCAGGCTCATAAAGTTGTTTATTTATCCCAATTTTCCTTTTTTTTTGGCTTGTTCCTCACACTTTTAATGTTTTATGAACTGAATCACATCATTTCTTTTTGTTTTCTTTTGAAATTTAAAATTCAATGAGTAGTTACTGTCTTTAGAAAATGGTATTTATTGAGATTTGGAATGGCATGAGATGCTTTGTTTGAAATGTTATACTCGACTGTTGTATCGGTGGATATTAGCTGTAAATTGACTGTTGCTTGTCTCTGGTCTGTACGGCTCCCAAGAGCTGCTTAATAGTTCTTGTAAGGTTAAGGTAGTATTTTACCAATGTCTAGCTGATGGAAACACCTATTGGTTTGAGTGTGCAAATAAATAGGCTAAAGATGTTTCCCTTCTATTTTCCTTTTGAGTTAGCTTTACCATGATTCTTTGTTTAGTTTTTAATGCTTCTGGATTTATTATAAAAGTGGTATTTACCTTCTTGAGCGTTCCACGGAGACCTTTGTAATTTTAATATATTTAGAGATCTTGTGTAAAATGGGATTGCTAATCTTCTGATGGTTAACATCTCTTCTAGGTTTTGCACACGTTCATTGCTTCATGAGTCTCTTGATTGTTCGCTTATAGATAAAATTCCTGGCCGCCAAAATGACCGTAAAACCCTTCTAGGGGAGTTGAATTGGATTTTTACAGCAGTGACTGACACAATTGCTTGGAATGTCCTCCCTCATGGTAATTCTTTTGAGTGTATTGATCAGCTGTGTGCATTCTTTCATGTAGCGCTTGTCTTTTCATATGTTTTATGATCTCTTCTTTTTGTTATGCAGAGCTTTTCCGAAGATTGTTTAGACAGGATTTACTAGTTGCTAGTTTGTTCAGAAACTTTTTGTTGGCTGAGAGGATTATGCGCTCTGCAAATTGTTCTCCAGTTTCTTACCCAATGTTGCCACCAACTCATCAGCACCATATGTGGTACTACAGGGGATATTCAATAACTTCACATTTTTGTTTCTCAGTTTTTTTAAAAAAAATTCTTGTGTACTCCAGGGCTGCATGGGACATGGCTGCCGAAATTTGCCTTTCTCAGCTTCCCACGTTGGTTGAAGATCCCAATGCGGAGTTTCAGGTGTTTTTTTCCCCAAAGTCTTTTGCTAATTTAACTTTATTATCCTGGATTTTCCGGATGAGTACTAGAGCCAGAGGAATTTTAGTAGTAGCAGGATGAGGTGGTGACTTTTAGTTCCTTGTGTTACCTTACTCGGAGTGTGCTTTTCTTTTGTTTCAGCCAAGTCCGTTTTTTACTGAGCAGCTGACGGCTTTTGAGGTATGGCTTGACCATGGATCCGAGCATAAAAAGCCACCGGAGCAATTGCCGATCGTTCTTCAGGTGCTATAATTTTGTAGTTCTTTTATCTGTGGGGCCAGTTTTTGGTTTCCATTCTTTCTTTATGGTGATTTTTGAATTTAGTTGGGTGTATGTTGAAACAATTTTACCATGTTATGTATGTTTTAATATAGTGACTGACGAGTACATGACTGATATTTCAGGTTTTACTTAGTCAATGCCATAGATTCCGTGCACTGGTTCTTCTCGGAAGATTCCTTGATATGGGACCATGGGCTGTAGATCTGGTAGTTGTTCATGGGTGTACTCTCTGCTATTGCACTTTGTTGTCTCTCATTACATGCAGTTGTTTACTTAAATAGTGGTTTCTGTTGTTTTAGGCACTTTCTGTTGGAATATTCCCTTACGTTCTGAAGCTGTTGCAAACAACCACACCAGAACTGCGTCAAATCCTCGTGTTCATATGGACAAAAATTTTGGCACTTGATAAGGTGTGACCACAGGTGCTTCAGAATTTTGGGATGAATATTTGTTTGCATATGCAGTATAGCTACTTGTGCATACATTTTAACTTAATACACGTGTGCTAGTTCTCATGTAACGGTTGTGTTCCTGCTTTTGAACCTGGCTATCAGGTTTCATTAAGTGCTATATTAGATATTGTGGAAGCTTCTTTATAGTTGGTATGTGTGCGCTTAAAATTATTGTAGTGGTGCATATTCTAGTTTTCACTTCTTGTAGGTAACCAAATGATAGCCTGCTATTGTGTTTTCTGACAGCTAGAGATTGATATAGTTCACATATTCCATTTGTTGTCCTACATTGGCATTATATTGTAGCATGTTCCTTTCACAGTATCAGTAATTTTGAAATTCTTTCATCTTGGATTGCAGTCATGTCAGGTCGATCTGGTAAAAGATGGAGGTCATGTTTATTTCATTAGGTTTCTTAATAGTATGGAAGCATATCCTGAACAGCGAGCAATGGCTGCATTTGTTCTAGCTGTCATTGTGGATGGGCATAGACGGGGCCAGGAAGCCTGTATTGAGGCAGGGTTAATCCATGTGTGCTTGAAGCACCTTCACAGTTCCATGCAAAATGATGCACAAACTGAACCCTTGTTCCTTCAGTGGCTTTGTTTGTGTCTTGGAAAGCTGTGGGAGGATTTTACTGAGGCCCAAATAATAGGTTTGCAGGCAGATGCACCTTCAATATGTGCTCCTCTTCTTTCCGAGTCTCAGCCAGAGGTATATCTCCTTGCTAATTATCTATGTTGGTTATTTATTTTAGTTGTTATGGACATTTGTAATCTTAGGTGGTGTTTTATTTCAGGTTAGGGCTTCTGCAGTTTTTGCATTGGCTACCTTGCTTGATGTTGGGTTTGACTCATTTAGAGATGGTGTCGGAGGGGATGAAGAATGTGATGATGATGACAAGAGTAGAGCTGAGATTGTTGTTATTATTAAAAGCCTCTTGAATATTGTTTCCGATGGGAGCCCTCTTGTCCGAGCAGAAGTTGCCGTAGGTATGTGATAGTTATCTCATTCATATTTCATGTGTTGTGACTGAGAGTTGCTTATAGTTTTTAAACATAATTTTTTTTGATAAGAATGACAGGCCTCCTTAAAAACCTCCTTCTTGATCAAAGAAGGAGGAAAAGAGTGCCTTAGAAACTTTATTACTCCTCCGAAATTACATAAGATTTAACGTAGACACCATACTGAAAAAACACAACAGACTAAGCTACTCAACATAACCGAAAACCTAAACTCAAACGATAAAACGCACTGGAAACGACTAAACATCAACCAATTCCCATCTTTGCTAAACTATCAGCCTCCCCATTACACACCCTTGGAATCAGTCTAATAGAGTGCACCCTGTCCGTGATAAAAGATGAAATCTCTTTAACTAATGGGAGGATAAAAACTGGGGCCATAGCTGGTGTATGGACCCATTCCACAGCCGACTTACAGTCACTTTCCACAATCAACCTTCCAACCTTAACCCAACAAGAAGACATATAGATTTCAATGCCTCTCTTAATAGCCTTTAACTCAGCAACCGGCGGGGGACCCTGACCTACATTTTCTGAAAAAGTCAGAAGGGAGTTGCTATTCCAATCTCTCAAAATACCTCCTATACCTCCATTTGAGCCATCAAGTCTAACAGCTCCATCGACATTCATCTTCAAAAAATCCATAGGGGGTGGAATCCAGCGAGAAACCTGAAAATTGTAAATGTTGAGAGCTTTAATACCATCTGCAAGAGATGGATCACCAATCAGCACATCCTCCTGAATAGGACACTTAGGATACTTGGCTAGAAACCATTTAGATAACCTGAATCTAGCAATAAAAACAGAGACATCCTATCCAAGGGGGAACCATCGAACACCATTGCATTCCTAGCTTTCCATATCGACCAAATACTACTCCCGGGATAAATTTCCAAATCAACGATTTCCCCCTCAGCTCACCCCAAGAACATAGCAAAGAAGGTGGATCCTTTGGAAGGACTAAGGCTATTTCCCAATAGCTTGCTATCTTGTTCCAAAGTTCCCAAACAACATCACATGAAATAAATAAATGCTGAACTGATTCCACCTGTTTTTTACAAAACGGACATAAAATTTCATCCCCTAGCTGCAAACCTCTTTTCACCAACTCCTCTCTCACTGCCACTTTCTGATGAGCTAGCTGCCACAGGAAGACTTCAACACGAGGAGGAGATAAACCCTGCCACACCCCTTTTACCCATAAATCGGACTCCCCAGACACCTTGCCGAGTTCCTTTCTACAAGATTTCACTGAAAACAGTCCATCCCCACTTGCAGACCAAGAAAGAAAGTCTTCAACTGAATCAGTCAGTTTAAAGTCCTTCAGTTTTGTCATTAAATCCAGCCACTGATCCAACTCCCAGTCACACAAATTCCTTCTGGTATCGATGTTCCACACCCAACCGTTCGAATCTGAACTTCCAAACTCAGCGACCATACCCCATTTATTTGTTGACAACGCATACATTCTAGGGAAAAGATATTTTAAAGGAGACTCATCAGCCCATGAATCCGTCCAAAATGCAATAGACTTTCCATTTCCCAGTTTCAACTTGGAGTTAGATCTGATACGTTCACCCTCCGAGTCGTTCTTCAAGAAATTGTTGGCAATCCCTCTCCAAATCCAAGAAGATTTGGGCGAAAAAACCTTACAAATAGACATGGAATTACTACTTACCTTGTGCCTGCAACATAACACACTTTTCCACAAAGTATTTTTTTCATTGGCGAACTTCCACACCCATTTTCCCGATTAGATATGTTCACATCAAGAACACCAAGGCCACCACAATTTAGAGGCGTGCAGACTGATTTCCATTAACCAGTGTATCTTCTTTTGTCCTCATTATCCCCCCATAGGAAACTGGCCATTAAAGAATTAAGCTTCTTACCAATTTTACAAGGCATTCTAAAAGAGATAGAAGAATATTGGTAGGGATGTTAACACCGACTTTAATAAACTGTCCTGCCCGCCAAGAGACAATTAGCTTCCAGCCGGCTAGTTTGGAACTAAAATTCTTGAAAACTGGATCCCATAAGGCTTCTGAGTTTTTCTTAGCACCTAGAGAATCCCAAGTAATCTGTTGGAAGAGAATCAATAGAGCAGCCCACCGAAGATGCCCATTCTGATAAACTTCCTCTTCCACATTAATACCAATAGCTACTCTTATAGATTAAGATGCAACCCTGTCATAACACTAAAAATCCTCATACTCTCTTGACATTTTTAATCTGGGAGAGAGATGCTTGACAGAAGATGATCAAGTCATCTGCAAATTGTAGATGTGTCAATCGAACAGAATTTTCAGACCCTTGCCTAAGTCCTTGGCCATGTGGAACTCTTCCGATGGAGACCCGTTTACGAGAACTGAGATTGAAGCTGTTGAAATACACTGAGATATCCACGACAACCATCTTACCAAAACCCATCTCTGCATTATTCTAATTAAATTGGCCATTCCACGGAATCATAAGCCCTACGAAAATCTACTTGAAGGCAACCCCTTTAACCCTTTTTTCCTCCAGTAATCAATCCCTTCGTTTGCTATAAAGCACATCAGCAACTGTCTCCCTGGTATAAACGCAAACTGAGAGTGACTAATATCACCAACACAACAACAGCTCTTCGAAAGAACTTTAGAAAGTATCTGTATAAGCTGCCTACAAGGCTGATTGGTCTAAATTCCTCTACACTGTCCGGATTAAGCTTCTTCGGATAAGTGTGATAAAAGCATGGTTTATACCGTGCTCCCATTTCCTTCCAAAATAGAATCTTCAAAAATTTCAACACGTGCTCCTTTAAAATCGGCCAGCAGTTTTTAAAGAAACCATGGTGAAACCATCTGGTCCTGGAGCTTTAGAGCTGTCTGATGAGACTATAGCTTGCCAAATTTCTGTTCTAAGAAGTGCTCTTCAAGCTTCTTAGACTGATCCCCTGATAGCTTAGCAAAATCCAGTAGTAAATCCTCCGTTCCAATGTTGAATTGGAATTATAGGCTGCCTTGAAAAATTCTGAAATATGTACCTTTAATTGTGAGGATCTGAAACCACACTCCCATCTTCAAGCTTAAGATTTCATTCTTTTGCTTCTGTTCAGAGCAGACAGATGAAAAAACCTTGTGTTCCTATCCCCCTCCTTGATCCATCTTGCCCTTGACTTCTGAAACCAGATGCTTTCTTCTGTCCTATACAACCTCCATAGATTTTCCTACACAGCCTCAACTGATCCACTCCTGCTTCGAAAGAATTCCACCTTGAGCTTTAAGATCCAATTCATTAATTTTCCTCTCTAAATCAAAATCGACTCAGGGATCCCAGTAAATTTACTGCTGGACCAATTTCTGATTGAATTTTTAGTACCTTTTAAGATACTGAAAATACCCCTTTTATATTTCTCCCCCTCATAGCAAGCATTGAAGATTTAACCATTCCTCAAATCCTTCCTCCTCTAGTAAATAATTAAAAACCTGAATGGTTTCGGTCCCCAATTAACAGCTTTGTCCTCTAATGAGACAGGATTATGATCATATAGGGATTTAGGCAAGAGACTTTGCACTACATTTGGAAACATGACAGAAACGTCCCAGAGATTAAACCTGTCTAGTCTTTCCCAAGTCGAGTCTTCTCTATTATTGCACCAAGTATACCTTCCCCACCAACGGTAGATCAATTAATGTGATTGCTGTAAGAAGTTCTAAATAAATCAATGAATGCCAGTTTGTGATTTTCCCATCTTCTCGTCCGGATCAAGATACACATTAAAATCTCCCCCAATACACACTAACATATTTGAGCCGAACAAACTCCAACAATTCCTGAAAAATCTTCCTTTTCTGCTTCAATTGATGGACCGTATACATGATAATCAGACACTCTTCACGAATTTCTGAACTTCCCAAAGACTGCTATGAATCTGCCATTAAGATGGGTGTTCGAAACTTCAAAATCATTTCATTCACATAATCATCAATCCACCAGCAGATCCCACTGCTGGCGCAACAATCCCTCCTCTAAGGAATCTCCCCCCTATCCTTCTTCTAAGAGCCAAAGAAACATTCTAGTTTTGTTTTTGAATTAGAATCAAGTTCGGCTTATTCTTCTTCACCAAATTAGCTACCACTCTTGACTTTTCCTTTTTTCCAAGACCCCTTACATTCCAAGAAATGTTGACATTTATCATATCAAGAAGATCTACACCAAATCCTATAGCTAGTCTCCAGAGAAATAGAGACTAAACCCTGACTTCCCCTGTTCCCTACTCTCAGCCGATCTTCAAGGTTGATAATTTTGTCCAAAAAAGCCTTCTTCCCATCTTTGAAAGAAATCCTAGAACTTTACATACTTCCCATGTAACCATCGCTTCCTCAACCGCCTTCGAGAACTGAGGAGTAAAAACTAAGGAGAATTAACCTATCAACTGCTTCCCTTGTTAAAACTCTTCTCTCCCTCTTTTAGACCTTTCTGACCCTACAGCAGAGAAAGGAACTACTGCCAGACCTCCGAAGAACTATACAATTATTGGTGCCACATAAGGGTTCTGATCATCAGCTGCACCATTTAAAATCACTTCCCTTCCACCTTCCATATTTATTGAAGGA